ATAGATAGATAGATAGATAGATAGGCAGAAATGCAGACAGGCAGAAATGCATACATACAGTACGGGCTGACAGATAGATAAATGCAGGCAGACAGACATATCACTCTCTCTCTCTCTCTTTCTCTCTCTGTGTTTTAATAATAATAATGATATTGACAGTAACACTAACAATAGCATCAACAAGTAAAAATAAACAAATGACCCACTAAGAAAAAAATCCTTCCTAGTGTGCGTAATCCAAGTATTGCATCCTCACTATAATACTACATTCAAACATATTTTTTTTCTTCTGAGAATGGCTTAAACCTCTGAACCTTAAGCCAAGACCTGTGTTATCTTAAGCGTTTTTTTCGATAGATAGATAGATAGATAGATAGATAGATAGATAGATAGATAGATAGATAGATAGATAGATAGATAGATAGATAGATTGATTGATTGATAGATAAGCAGAAATTCATACATACAATACGGGTAGATAGAGAAATAGATGCAGGCAGATAGACAGAGAGACACGCAGATAGATAGATACAGGTTTCTTCTGTGATATTATTATGATGTGGGTGGGTGGATGGATGGCTGATGGATAGATAGATAGGCAGAAATGCAGGCAGGCAGGCAGGCAGGCAGACAGACAGACAGACAGACAGACAGACAGACAGACAGACAGACAGACAGACACAGGCAAACAGACAGACAGGCAGGTAGGCAGGTAGACAGACAGATATATACAGACAGATAGAGACAAACAGACAAGACAAAACAAGACATTCAGACAGAGACAGAGAAAACAAGACTTTCAGACAGAGACAGACATTCAGACATTCAGACAGAGACAGACAAAACAAGACATTCAGACAGAGACAGACAAAACAAGACATTCAGACAGAGACAGACAAAAGACATTCAGACAGAGACAGACAAAACAAGACATTCAGACAGAGACAGACAAAAGACATTCAGACAGAGACAGACAAAACAAGACATTCAGACAGAGACAGACAGAAGACATTCAGACAGAGACAGACAAAAGCCATTTAGACAGAGACAGACAAAACAAGACATTCAGACAGAGACAGACAAAAGACATCCAGACAGAGACAGACAAAACATGACATTCAGACAGACAGACAAAACAAGACATTCAGACAGCAGACAAAACAAGACATTCAGACAGACAGACAAAACAAGACATTCAGACAGAGACAGACGAAAGACATTCAGACAGAGACAGTCAAAACAAGACATTCAGACAGAGACAGACAAAAGACATTCAGACAGAGACAGTCAAAACAAGACATTCAGACAGAGACAGACAAAAATACAAAAAGCCACTGTCATGGATAACCACAGGCCTAGTTAAGTAGAAATACACTCATACCCTGTATAACAAGTATATGATGTACGCATGGGTTTGAATGAGTTGATGTGTCCCTGTATATTTTTTTTATTAATCCATAAATATGATAATTTTAATTGCATTTTCAACTAACAAATAAACACAAAAGAGGGAGGGATGACAGGTCAGTTTATAAGCGATATCACGTTTTGGGTTTTCGGAGAGTAGGATAAGGAAAATGAGAAGATAAAAAAGGGAAAGGGAGAGAGAGAAGAGATAAAGGGAGAAGAGAGAGAGAGAGAGAGGCGGCGAGAGAGAGAGAGAGAGAGAGAGAGAGAGAGAGAGAGAGAGAGAGAGAGAGAGAGAGAGAGAGAGAGAGAGAGAGAGAGAGAGAAAGAGACTGATAGGGGAAAAGAGGGGGTAGTAGGAGGAGAAGGAGAAGAGGCGGGAGAAGGAGGAGATGGAGATGGATTGTGTATGAGTGAAAGAGGGAGAGAGGTAAGGCAAGGAGAAGAAGAAGAAGGGGCAAGCGAAAGGGGAAGGCCGGGGAAAGGGGAAATGAGAAAGGGTCGATAAATGGAAACGGAATGGAAAAAGGGATTTGAAAAGGAGAAGGAATAAGAGAAGGAGAAAGAAATATTGAAGAAAAAGGAGATAGAGATTGTCAGAAAGGTTTCCTCCCCTGAATTACAGTTGGTATTCCTTAGCAAAGGTAAACGGAGAAGCACACTCATCTCTCGCAGAAATAGGTAGAAAGATTATCCGTTTTCCGGGTGGTAGCGACGCGGTGGTAGGCCTATACAGTTCAACGGCCATAAGTGTGAGTGTGAGGCCATCCTACAGGGAAAGAAGGGTGGTCAGAAGCTCCTTTAAGACTGGTCGAAGATCACTTGAATTCTGGTGGCTGGTGGCAGACTCGAGGTGCGAGGTCAAGGGTCAGAGGGTGTGACATATGCTTGAACGGGTCCCGTAGCAACAGCGGGTTATCTGGTAGGTCATCCTTGGTCTCGTTAACCCATAGCAGGTGGAGTGTGATTAGGTGTCTTGCTGTTTAGAGGGCGTAGCCGTGAGGGGTCATTGGTCGTCTCAGAAGACAGAGACAGACAGACAAACAAACAGACAGACAGACAAACAGACAGACACAGACAGACGGACGGATAG